TAAAAAAAAAGTCTATTAAAATGCACATATAAAGCTGTTTAATACATCTACTCTAGGGTATAATTACTAAAGAATTATTAAATACGTGATGCTTGGCTAACTGGAAGAACATTTTCAGGAAACCAATCATAATGGTTACCATTGATATCACTGTAGCAAATGCTTTCCTTACGTTAGCTCATATAATCCCTGTAACAAGATGCTAAATGAGAGCTATATCTCCATTTTGCTGGTTAGGAAATTGAGGCTTATTGCTGTTAAGTGATTTTGTGAGGAAACGAAGTATGAACCTGGATAGTCTGATATCAGAATTGATGCCCTGAACAACTACCATGTTAAGCAAACTACCTCCAAGGTTTTGGTATAATTTGAAAAGCTCTTTACTGGCAAATCATAAAAATAAAAACAACAATGAAGGTGAAGAAGCCAGCATCTTATTTTCCAGTATTTGGACAGAATAATGGGTTTATAGCTAAAAGAGTAGTTCTGAATTCCTGGTCCTGGTTATGCCACTTCCCAGTAACACATCTTTGGGACCCCCTGTGTCTGTGTTCTGTATATTTTATCATTAAAATAAATGTGCAACTTGAATATAGTTGCTCTGAGCTGGAAGAAAGGATGAGACATCATAACTGGTGATAGTATTTTGTCAACCAAAAAGTGCCAGGCAAGTTTTATTTTTTTAATTGAAATGAATTTCAATAAAGGCAGCGGCCTAAAAGATGTTATGACAGTGTTTCTCAATGTGTATATCAAAAATAGAATACTTCAAATTCTGGATGTTTGTTAAAACGGTAACTGAGAAATCCTTCTTTAGACCCTGGGAGTGGACAGGTAACTTTTGATGCCTGTTGCTCTTGGCAGCATGTAATGAGTCCTGCCTTTCAGTTTCCAGTCTTATTCCGATCAGATGTAACTGCTGTGTTAGTAATAGTAGTTAATGCTGGCTAGAACTGACCTTTGAGGAGCTACAATTGACAAGCAAGCTGCTCTTGGAAAAATGTTAGAAGTTAGGGATTGAAAAAAAAAATCCTGTTTGATAGGCTCTGTTATAGACCTTTGCTCCTGTCTTTGCATTGCAGAAGATGACTAAATTAATCTACATTACTGAGCCAGGAGCTGAATTTTGGTAGCTCTGGGACTTTTTTATTTTTTAAATAATAAATTGAAATCTATACTTACAGTAAAATATCATTATACTCTTTTTTTTTGGAGAATATGAAAATTACAAGATTTTGAAATGTTGGATTTAATTGTTAAAAAGAGGAAGATCAGAACAACCATAGCTGAATCTATCATTTGTGTTCTTGAGGTCTGATGGTGTTCAAATGTATGAGATGATGTAAGGGCCTTAGCTGTTGCGGAAGATGCTTTTTTTAAGAGAAAACTATATAGACATTTGGGGCATAATCTCATTAAGGTAGGAATGAGTTTCTAATTAAGTCCTTGAGTTAATGGAGGTTGTATTTACTAAAGTGTCTAGATATTTTAGCTAGGTTTTATGGCTTTAGACATTTTATTTTTACAAATGTTACTAAAACTTTAAAGGTAACTGTTAACAAGCTAGAAATATTTACACTTTGAACTGCCAACTTAAAAGGTGTAAAATAACGCAGCTTCACAAATCTTTAAAAAGAAAAAGATGGTAACAACATGAAAGCATAATGCAGAGAAAACATCAAATGCAGTGTATTAGTTTATATAATTATACAATCAATTATAAAATTGCAATGTATTAGTTTTCTGTCCTTTTTAATAAAGTTGTTTGGATGAAAGCATATCAACAAGTAAAAGTTTAAAGTATACCAGGCAAAAGGAAAGAAAAGAAAGTAGGGGTGAAATTTGATTTTTCTTGAAACCTTTCAAGACTGCTGTGAATGAATTCTGTCTTTTGGTATGAATTCTGTCTTTTGCCCATGTTTTAATGTGGGTTTTTATGCTTGCTTTTATGGTTTCAATTATTGAGATAGTCAAATCTTTATCTTTTTAATTTCCTCTATAAAGTTTTTTTTTTTAAGATTTATTTATTTTATGCATACAGAGCTGGGGTACAGACCAGAGGTGCAGGGGTGGTGAGAAGATTCACCAGAGACAGAGTGTGGGGAGCAGAACAAGCAGACTGATGAAATACACTGCTGAGGAAAGCAGTGGGCAGTCAGGGGAGTTCTGGGTCAGGAATGGTGATCTGTGGGATCACCTCCTGGGCGGACTTGAACTCATGCTGAAGTGGCTTTAGCTTCTTAGTGCTGTGCTTTAACCCGCAGCGCCACTAGGGAGCGCCTTCTTCTATAAATTTTAACATTGAAAAGTTCCCAGTAAAGAAAACTTTTGACTTTTTACTTCTATTGTTAACTCAATATTGTTTCAATGAATAGAGTGTGTGTTTTATAAGTGATCTCCTCAAAGCTTTTCTATGTGTGTCTTACTGCCATGTTCTTAGCTTTTAAATTTTTCATTACTTAAAAGTTGCCTGGGGTTTCCCTGGTGGAGCAAGGAGTTAAGTCCCTGTACTCTGAAGCTATTTGCAGCCACCCAGGCCAGGGATGACCCACAGGCACAGCAGACCTTGCTTATCTTAATCACTGCTCCCCTCATTAGTGAATTTCAGTCAGTCCACCTCTTCTGCTACTCACTCTGTGTCTCCTGAATCCTCTCATCCCCCTGAACCTCTTGTTTGCACCCCAATTCATGTATGCATAAATAAATAAATCTTAAAAAAAAAGTTGGCTGGGTGTATCCCAGATGGTACTTCCAGTGTTCTGTGCACCATAAAATATAATAGCTTAACAAGAATCATGTTTTAAAAAGAAGTAATTAGGATCCAAATGGGATGGCCTCTTGGAATAGTAAAATAGACCTTTTTATACCTAATTTTGCTGGACTTTTTTTCTGTAGTGTTATTCAGAGCTGTAGGGTTGCTCTGTTACACTCCTCTACAACATTAAGTGAACCAGTGTGTTTCTTTACTACTATAATGAGAAACTGAATCAATAATAGTGATAATAGCTAACACAGATGTAATGCTTAAGCAAACATCAGACAGCCTTCTGTTTTAGATATTATACTCATTTACTCCTTAACAACACCTTGCTGCCTAGAGATAAGGAAATTGTTTAGGTACAGCGAGAGCATAACTTGTGCAGGGCCCCTGTCCTGACTGCTGGGCTGCACCCACTCTGTGGGCATGAAATGAGCACATGTCAGTCCCAGTGGCAGAGAAGCAGGCTTATGTTGCTCATGTTGTAAAAGGTCAGTGCTTATTAGAAAAGAATCTCTAAAACTTGCAGTTTGGGACTTAGGCAGACAGTCTCTGGAATTTGCAATTTCTTAATTTCAGAGTTTCAGCAGACTTTCCAGTTTAAAATTTGTATCTCCATTTTTTTTTTCTGAGTAATAAATGGCAACTTAAGTGAAACTGAAATTTTTTTCAAAGTGTATGTGGTGATTATTAAAAAGCAAAAATAAGATCAAAGGTAAAGCATATGGATTAAAAAAGATGTTGAATGCAGTAGTAGTTTGGGACAGTGAACCTGGTGGAGATTTTTGTAGGAAAGATTCTTTTAAGATTGGAAATTAAAACACAATCCTGCTTCTGAAGGGAGTCTTTTGTATTCTTATTATGCTTTGGTATTTAATTTCCTTATTGACTTAATGCCCCCTGAGATTATTGAAAGCACACTTTGGCCTTCTCCAGGAATGCTTTTTTCTTTTTTTTTTTGCCCCCACCTTACGTAATCTGTTTTTCAACTACTTTTTGGGACTGTTGCACCTTTAAAAACTTCATTCAAATAGATGTCACAGTCCCAAAGCCTACCTCTGTGTTCAGTTTTTGTTACTGCTTACTAGAATAGGTGGAAACAAAGATCTTTCTCCCTTAGATGGCTTCATGCATTCGCTATGAAACCACCTTTAGACAAATGGCTTTTCAATGGCTTTTTCAGTGCAGTTACAGAGTTCAGTAACTTTGGGCTATGCACCAAAATTGTTTCAAGTCTTTTAAAATTAAAGAAGCCCATTTGAAAATGTTTTGCCAAACGTTTATTTTACTATTTGTAATGAATGCCAAATTCCAGCTGATTATTCATTACCTTTCTGAAAATCTGTTTCCTTTAAAACAGGGAAGAGATAACCTACTTTATAAAGTGGTTGCAAGCATTGAATTAGATAATATCTGCAAAAGATCCCATGACACAATAATCTCATTACTGACTTTTAATGGTTCTTCTTAAGTGAGTTGAAATCAAGCATTCTACATATTAATTATCTTAATAGTGTTTGGAATTAACTGATAATCATCCTAAGCCTCATCATGAGATGCATCAACAAAAAATAACACGTGGCACAGATGAACGTGAGTTCACTTTTTTAAATTCTCATCAGTATATTTAGTAGGCTGTCTTAGTCTGTCAAGTCAGGCGCATCCAGCCTTTTTTCCAAGATCTTATCACTTGTGCATTTGTGTGCCTGCTGAAAACTAACTTCATACAGTGTTTCCTTAACACACTGTGACTTTTAGAATTCTGTCTCTCCTCATTGTAGTGTTGTTTCTGAAATAGTGTATTCTGAAACATGGAATGCACAAGTATTGACAGTTATGGCCCTGGAAAAAAGTAAAGTATCTGCTTTGCAGATGGAAAACCTGAAAGACAGGATGATTCCTATAGTTACTGTTTGTATGTTAGCGCTTTTGAATGCAGCATCATGCTCCAACAGAAGAACATGCTTGAGCAAACTAGCTACAACTAATCCTAACTCAAATAAACTTAACACATAATCTCTCTCCCTCCCAGAGTTAATATTGGATCCTGGTGAACTCATTTTTTAGAGAGAATGGAACAGGAGGGTAAAACCAGAAAATACTTAGCCCTTTTTAGCACTTCTGTGTGATCTGTCAGCTCTCCTGAATTCTTTGCCTATCTCTTAAAAACAGTTTTAATTCTTGCTCAACAAAACAGATATCACATTGTTTATAATTGGTGACATTTTTAGAAATGATTGAATATTTGAGAGGAGCTTTTTCTTTCAGAAAGTTTTGTTTTTGGTATAGTACAATTAGATAATTCCTTTATGGCTTTGTAGGTCAAATCCTATCATAGCGAAATGTATGTCAAGCGAAATGTACCACGCACGTAGGTGCTTAGCAGCGATAGTGGCATTATGGGATGAAGTGTACCCTGCTCGTCCCTGCCTTCAGTACCAGGGACTTCTCCAGAACTGAAGAAAATGTACAGTGCTGCTGGATCTCACCTTAAGTTGCTGACCCCGAGCATCAGAAGGGCTAATGGTGGGGTCCAGCATCCTTGCCACATTGCTTGCTTTGGTACTCTCAGACGTGAGTATTGCACCCTAGCCTTTGAACCATAATTAACCCCTTCACCTTTTGCCACCCACCCCTACTGGTAACATGAAGTACTTTTGTCAGTCCTATGCTGTGAGTGAAACCACTGAGCTTTTGTATAGTAACTATGGCACCTACAAGCTTGTACTTAATTTCTTACGGATTTTCTTATGTTGGGATAAACATAAAGCTCAATTTTCTTGCAAGTTAGAGAGAAATTATATATTGCAAGGCATTACAAGTATGTAATTCAGAATTTCTTCCCAAAGATCTTGACTTCATTAAACAAAAATTCAGAAACATAACTTTTGAAGGTTTCAAAAAGGCTTAAAACTGTCTTTAGACAAGACTATTTTATCAGTAGAGAAGATAGGAAGTGACATTAAGTAGATAATTAGTAGTTTGCCTTAGGAGATGGCATTGAGTATTCTTACTGTGTTCTTTTATCTTTGTGCATTTGTGTCATGACCTTTTAATTTTTTTCCCCATTGCAACATCTGCTGGCTTTTATGGAATAATTTCTTTGGTATTTGTAATGTTTGAAAGATGCTTTCAACATATCCAGCTATTGTTCCTAAACTGCTAACCAGATCAAATTTGGAACTAGTTTCTTAAGCTGTCAGCTTAATAATAAAGCCATTTTAGTTCTAAAATAAGAATTGTCCTTTATTTCATTGGTCTTTTGTTTCCCCCCACACACATACCCCCCATTTTTAAAAACAGGCTGCAGACACTTTGGCTGTAAGGCAAAAAAGAAGAATTTATGATATCACCAATGTCTTGGAAGGAATTGACCTGATTGAAAAAAAGTCAAAAAATAGTATCCAGTGGAAGTAAGTTACAAACCACTACCCTGTTCTACAACCTTTATTTTTCTGCCCCATAACCCTACAAAATCTTTCTAAAATCTTTCCTACATTCTCTAGTTAAGTCCTAATCATACCTCGCCCCTCATTTTTCCTTTTTTTGGTCTCTGTACAGTAATCCTTCTTTATCTGTGGGTTTACTTTCTCAGATTTCAGTTATCTGCTATCAGCTTGCCCTGCAAGTGAGTTGAGAGTAAGAACAACCACCATTATATAACTTTTTACAGTATATTGTTGCAGTATACTTGAAAACATGAGCTATATTTTATATATGGGAATGTGTACCTTATAATAATATTTAGGGGCCTCCCCGGTGGCTCAGAGGTTAAAGACACAGCAGTATAAAGCTATCACCAGCTACTGTGGCACAAGTTTGCTCCCCGGCCAGGGAGGTGACCCGATGGTGTAGCAGACCTTTCCTGTCTCGCCTGCTGCTTACCTCTGAATCCACTCACTCTCGACACCTCTGGCCTACAACCTTGTATGAATAAATATTTTAAAAAATTGATTGAAATGAATGTTGTCATTTATTGTTAACTGGTTATACAGTAGAATGTTTTGCAAATTTATGCCCATTAGCCTTAGTAGGTTTTTTTTTTTTTGCTCTAGCCAAAATATTAAACAATCTGATTTATTTTGCCATTGTATCTACATTATGAGACTTCTGGGTGTGACAATTTAGCTTTGAAATCATTTTAGTTTCTCAGTCATCTGCTGGCCATCCAATAATGAACCATTCTACAAATTAAGAATATTTGTAATTTGATTGTTCTTGTTAATTAACTTTTAAGCAAACATTCAGAGGTAGTATTTAAATTTTCTAACAGCTTAATGCTTTTTTTTTAGAAGTACCTAAAGATTTTTATCTAGAATATATTATACAGTTTTATTAAATTAAAAATAAGTGATGTTGAGTTTGATACTGGTGATATTTTCCTATGTTTTTAAGAGGTGTAGGTGCTGGCTGTAATACTAAAGAAGTCATAGATAGATTAAAATATCTTAAAGCTGAAATTGAAGATCTAGAACTGAAGGAAAGAGAACTTGATCAGCAGAAGTTGTGGCTACAGCAGAGCATCAAAAATGTGATGGACGACTCTGTTAATAATAGATATCCTTTAAAAATAAGTTATGCATATACATAATGCTACAGAATGTTGTTTCTATAATGTTCTTCTAATTTGAAGATCACTAACCTTATTTTAGAGTTTGGAGATAAGTTTTGCAAACGAATATAATATTTTAATTTCATAAGTCTAATTAAATTTATACTAACTAATACTTAAATCTGTTTTACCTTTTTTAGGTTACATAGTGCAACTGTTAATATTATTCCCATGTTGTGAGAGAAAAACAAATATTGGGATTGAAAATGAAATATAACTGGGCCTGTAGTCAATTCAGGATACTTTCTAGCTAATATTAACCCAGAGATACCTTCTAGAGGGTAGGCTTCTAAGACCTGGCATCTACATAATATATTGGGGGAGGGAGGGAATATTAGTGATACTCCATGTTTTTTAAAAATTACTGTTTTTCTCATTTGTGAACTTACCTATATTTTTATTGAACATTTTTACTTCATTCTGTACACTCTCTCATGAACTTTTGACCAATGTTACTTTGTGTTAGTGAAGGACTCCTTAAGAGTTTGGTAGTAATGGAGGAATTCCAACTGCCCTTTGGTACCCCCAGAATTAAAAAACATGGCTAGTTGATCTGGGACACTGCTACAGTGCTTTGTAAGATTTAAACTGCTCCCAATTCTTTAGCCACAACCCAAGGAGATTTTCGATGTAGAAGCTTATGTCATTTCTCTTGACTACTGTATTAGAATCCTTTCCCTCAATGAGATCCTTCCCCAAGAATCCTGTCCCTCAAAAGAATGTTTCCCATCTCTCCCAAGGATCCTCAGATGTCCCAGAAATCAACAAATAGCTGCTGCTTAAGAGCAAAGGATTTACATTCCTCTTATGGACCTTTATTTGTCTTTGCTTTTTCAGACTAATGACTTCTGTCCTCTTTTACCTGATCATATATGACAAAGTCTTTATGTATCTGGTTATTGTGTTTTTTTGACTTTTAAGATTTTTAAAAATTTAATATAAAATTAATTATAGTTTGATAAGAACATTGTTCCTTAACTCCTGTGACAGTACATTTTCCTATGTAACCCATGAAGACATCTGTAATTGCTTTAATGGTAAGTAAAGTTAGTAAATTTTTCTTAAACTTTTCCTTGGTTTATGCATTCATTCCAAGTCATTATTTTCAAAAGTTGTGGATGTTTTGTTTCACTCTACAGTGCTGTGTAGAGATGGGCTTTTGTTTCTGTTCTCATGACAACTGCTTTTCAGTTTTCCCTTTATTGCTGCATGGGTTAGTATCAGCTGTGTGCGGAAGGGATAGCTTAAGTCAGAGAAAAATTAACAGACCAGTTTCAAGAGTCACAGAATCTCACAGTTAATAACTGAATTTGAACTCTAACACTGTTCTCATTGGCATTGTTTATAAAAATCTGTAGCAAATGTGCTGCATATACAAACAGAAGCCAGAGAAAGCCTGTAAACAGAATCAGGTAAAACCATTTCATATTCAGGGAACTTAGTCTTACTCCTAAACCACCTGCTTCTATGTTTTCCCCTTAAAATGACAATATAGTATCAACAATAAAAGTGGGGGATTAGATACCTGTATTCCTGTAGTTGTGTATTACAAGTAAAACAAAATTTTGTGTACACATTTATATTATAATGCAAATACAAAAAATAAAGACCTGTCAAACACCTGGCCAGGTGGAATCTCACTCTAAATCTAAGGTTGTATTGGCAGAATGTCTGTCTCTGCTTGCACTGTATCTCCTGAGCACTCTTAAGTAAAGTTTGAGGAAGGTATTCTTCATCTTCAGCACAGCACAGACTGCTTCAAATTTGACTTCAAAAGCAAGCTTGAGTTCACTATTGCCTAATCTCTAGGATCCTCAGGCATTTAAGCAGCTTATATATTTCAAGTAAAGTGTTATTTTATTGAGATTAGAAAGTTTTCAGAATCTCAGTAAACCATTGTTACCTCAATAAAAAATACAATTAAAAAATGTGACCACACAATACTGGAAGTTTAATTAACTTGAATTTGTTATTGTGAAAATAAGAGCTGACATTACTTACCCTTTTGTAAGATTTGCCAGCACATGTATTACCTCACTTAATGTCAACCTATACGTTAAGATAAATTTCCTCCATTTACAGAATTAAGAACTAAAGCCTAACTCTGGGATTCAGATCCAAGAGTTCTGACTCCAATCTGCCCATGTAGTTCGTGGTTAATACTGTTTTTAAGTTGTATATTTTTTTGACCAGGTGATACGCTCTTGGCCATTCAAGCACCTTCTGGTACACAGCTGGAGGTCCCTATTCCAGAAATGGTATGTAGGATAACTTTTGTTGAAATGGACCTATTAATTTCAAGACAAATGTATTTTCTTTAGTTGATCATGAGCTAATTGTATGTAAACACTATAATTTACCTATTTGAAGGCAGTGATGCCAGAATTTCAATGTCTTCAATATTTCAATAAATTATAAGTCACTGAGTGAATCATTTAATATTTTATTTTAATTTGATTTTGAGGTACAGTATGTATATCTAAGAATTGCTATAATGTCATAACCTTGAAAAATAAGTCAAAATGACTAACAGATCTAAAAGTTCTAAAGAAGTTTAAATAAGGAATTATATTACATCTTTGAAAAAATTATTCTGCTTTATTAAGTCGTAAAGACATTTGTTAACTATGCTACAGACCTACTGTTTCGTGATTTTGGTTTTCACATTTTGATTTCCTAAGATAGATTTAGAAATTATAAAAATCAGAAAAGTGAATAGAATGATTGTAATTCTGTCATTCCTTGATCCCTTTACTATTCCGGAAGTTTGTATTTACATTCATATAACTGGATTCTAATGACTCAGGATATAAATTACCTTTTTGAGAATGTACAGATTTTATATCTCTAAGAAGTCAGTTTTCTGATTGCAAAATGGAAAAAAAGTTGTGACTTGTAAATAGTTGTCATTGATGGCACCAGTTCCATGGGGCTAAAGCAGAAGACGGGATCCATGTGGCTTGGAATACTGATATGTAGAATGACAGTAAAGTGGGTGGTTGCCAGGTAACTGCAGCAGAGCTTTTGATGACCAGTATTTGAGAAAAGCTTACCTTTAGAGGCCCCAGTATCCTGTCCTACTCTTACTCTTTACCTGTTTTGACTTAACAACTATTTTGTTGTATGAATTTAGTTAGTTCCTAACAGCTTTTGCCCGTCTCACTTTTTTATTGTTTCAGAGTAGCTAGAAATGTTAATATTTATTCCATTTGTTTATATCCAATAACTCCGAAGGGTCAGAATGGACAAAAGAAATACCAGATCAATCTAAAGAGCCACTCAGGTCCTATCCACGTGCTGCTAATAAATAAAGAGTCTGGTTCTTCTAAGCCTGTGGTTTTTCCTGTTCCTCCACCTGATGACCTCACACAACCTTCCTCTGAACCCTCAACTCCAGTGACTCCACAGAAATCCAACACGACAACTCAGAATCTGCCTGATCAACAGGTCTCTGAGAAAAGCCAAAATCTTCAGCAGACACCAGCCACAGACTTAACTTCAGGTGGGTTCAGAGCCTTTGTTTCAAAAAATAGAGAGAAATATGAACACTGAATTAAACAGTTTTCCTGAATGTGTTGGTTATGACATTCTATTTTTTAATATAGGAAGCATAATAGCTTTAATTTAGGAGCAAGTATTTAGTGTCTCCTGTGCACTCAGAATTGGAAAAAGATCCTGTCCTTGACTGCATTATAGATTTCATTGGCAGCAGATAGATGCAGTTGTGTGTATGTATGTGTACATACATTGCTAGTTATAATACAATGTGTTTAAGAGTGTACAGAAATATGAATACTGAATAAAAGAAAAATTTAATGGGCCAGTGTGTTAAGTTTTCTTCAGGGGAGTTCCTTTTTCTCCTTTTACTATTTACATGTCAGTTTCTTATCTGAGATTAGTAATTGGTAAGGTTCTTTTTTAGTAAGTCTAGGAAAAATTGTTGAAAATGTTCTACCTGTAAGAAAAATCAAACTTGTGTAGAATATAGTGACTAATACCTATAGTTTTTCCATATTATACTTTTTGTTTGGTAAGCTTAGTTTTAGGATTATAATGGTTTCAACTCCAATTAATTAGGAGCACTTGCCTCCTAGTTTCTTCTGTTAAATAATAAATAACTAAAAATAGCACCAGGAGTAGGGACCACAACTCCTAAATTTATGAAAATGTTCTTGGCACTCAGTCTTTCCCCTGGTTACATGCCTGAGTATTTCACTACTTCTTAGTGATTCCAGATAAAGTGCTAAACCAAATTCAGGGGTGAATAAACAACTTAGTCGTGCCAACCTAAATGTTGTATTGCATATCATTAAAAGCTATATTGTATATGCCAGTTTATAATTTTATGTGATCCTGTACAATACAGTATGTGTTTTAAGTGAGCTTGTGATTTAGCCAGTTTGAAGTTGGAAGTTTAGAAGTTAAACCTGGCAGTTCCATACTCATGAAAATGATACTGTTTCATGAAGTACTTGAATTTTGTACTGCTCATCCAGCTGCTAAAATTTAAATGTTTAATGAACATGGTAAAACACTGTTAAATCTATGTAGCATGTAAATACAACATGCTTTAGATGGCTTTACTGCTAAAAATACAAACAGAATGTAACAGAACTGTCACATTTGTTTCCAGCAGGATCTATTAGTGCAGATATCATTGATGAGTTAATGTCTTCTGATGGTAAGAATTTTTTAAATCTTAGCACCTTACACATCAGTACTGCTTTTTGAGAGATTATAAGTGTCACATGATTTTGAAAAAGTTAAGAACTTAACATTTTTTTTAGCTTTTTAATATATTGTGCTGGCTCAGGTATCCTTTAATACTTTAACAGTCAGAAATTTTTTTTTGCTTTCATTTTGAGTGAAAAGAATATATTAAGGGACACTTAATACCTCCACTGACTTTTAACTTGTTGCACATTAGCTCTTTTCACTTTTGAAGAATTTGGCCAAAAAAAAGCAAAACATACCTATGTCAACAGATAGTATGAAAACCCAGTTTTGTAAATATCACCATGCAGTTTCAAGCTGCCAGTGTGAAATTCTGAACTGTTACTAACATTAATCATGTCATCTAATAAAAATCAATTTAGCTGCCACTAGTTTATAATTACTTTAATAGTTTCTCTCTTGGCTTTACCATTCCGTAAGTTCTTAGATTCAGAATCCTGGTTCCTAACAAATAACAGTTAAGCCATAGGAAGTCACAGTTAAACCACTTAAATTTGTTAAGCATCAGAAAACTTATTAAATCCAGTTCATACTTCTGTTTCAGAGTTGCAGCATATTTAGCAAATCAGAGAAAAATATTTGACCAATGTTTCTGAATCATTTTAGTGACACTAATTGTAAGCGCTATTTCTCAAGTGTAATTCTATAATCAGCACATAAGTTGTCTTTAAATGAGAATTTTCCAAAATACACATAAAATACAAATCATTAAATTGATCATTACTTTACCTGTTAAATGTATCTTAAAATTCTTCATGACATAGGAAGCGTAATTTAATTCAGAAGTGTAATTGAGAGTATTTTATGTTACATATCATTGCCATATGAAGAAACCACCTTTAATACTGGTTTTGTGTTTTGCTTGCAGTGTTTCCTCTCTTACGGCTTTCTCCTACCCCAGCAGATGACTACAACTTTAATTTAGATGATAATGAAGGTGTCTGTGATCTGTTTGATGTCCAGATACTAAATTATTAGATTCCACAGAAACTTGGGACTGCTATCTACCTCTAACTGCGTAACATTTTAGCATACTTAATAACTAAGTATTTAAAATAATGAATGTAACATCTTTGTAGTTCACTGATTCTGAAGTATTCCTCCCTAATACTTTCTTTTCTACTTCACAAAACTTCAACATAAAAACAAAGGGCTCTGATTGCTTCAGGGGTATATGTGACTTAATATCCAAAAGTCCCTCTTCCAAGTAATTATATTTTAAGACTTCAATATTTTCTTTACTTCTGAATTCTTCTTTTTATTTTGTAAGAGGGAAATTGTAGAGTTAAGGTCATCAAAAACAAATAGTTGGCCAAGGGCTCATCACTTGTTTGTCTTCTATTTCTACTGCCACAAAATTGTGTCCCCTCCTATCTGCACAGACACTCACTGCCACTTGTAATTTGAAGGTTGTAAACTAGGATAGATGTTAACTGTTTTCAGTGAACAGATTTTGTGAAGTGCCTTCTGTTTTAGCACTTTAAGTTTATCACACTTTGTTGACTTCTGACATTCCACTTTCCTAGATTATAGGAAAGACCTGTTGATGTAGTTTGTCTTTGAAATGTGCCAATGTCTGTACATTAACAAGATTTTTAAAATAAAATTGTATAAAGCATTTCTTTCTTTCTTTTTTTTAAATTTAATGCATTACCAGTATATTACAACTGAGCCATTAATCTTGTAGCTTCGTCAACATTAACTGGTTCATTTTCATGACACTGCTGAGGAGGAGTCTGAAGAAGAAAAACATCGTATTTAAAAATTTTGAAAATATCAAGAAAAATCATTTGTTTATAATATATTATCTGACTTAGTTTCTCCTACCTTTAGTTTCATACCTTTGGGAGCAAAATTTAAGCGTCTGAATGCTATACATATTACAAAGCTTAGAGGCTTTGGACATTCAAAGTTCAGTTCCCTGGTCTTAATTTACTAGCTACAACAAAAGGAAATGATTTCTACTTACCAGCTGTTTCTGCAGAGGTTCAAGAGAAAGGCCTTTTGAGAAATGTAGAAGTTCCTTTTGTATATCTACAAAAGCTTTATTCACTCTGTGAACTTTTTCATCATTAACAATGTTTATCTTAAGAAAAAAAAAAAAGATCCTTAAAAAGATACTCAATTTAACCTTCTTAAATCTAAAAACTGTTAACGCACTAAAATCCTTAGTCTTACCATGAGATTTTAGAATGTTGTTATTTTAAAAAACAATTAGGCAGGTGTTCCTCACATTTAGGCTTTAGTGATATAACAGGCCAAAATATGTGACCATTATCTAAAATATAGGGCATCAATCTTTCATCTGGAAAATGAGAAATGTCCTAATGGCACATCCCTGAATCCTTCCTTGACTTTCTTGCCTTAATGGAAGTCCCTGGCAGTCTCCTGAGGACAAGTTTTCTCTGCAGTCCTCTAGAATCTATGAGGTGGAGGATAGTAGTCTTGTTTTACTTACACTTGTTCCCAAACCATTTTTTTCTTAAAAATTATCAGCTCCTCTGCACTCCATATTTCAGAACACTCTGAAACCCCTTTTCCTCACTACTGACACCTACCAATACCAAGAAAACATCTTAAACCCTGGCTTAGTGACCTCAAGCCCAGTGCTATGGTTTTGTAGACTTATAAAATTCTAATCTCATGGCCTGTTATTAATCTCTTCAGGGCCTCATCTCCAGGAATCTTACCCACTTTTTACATTAGCCACCCATTCTCTTATTTTTCCTTAGATGAGTCATTACCCATAATTGTACCACTTGTCATGCTAGTACACTGGAATCTTCCTGTAATTACTATTTTTCAAATTTTTGTATCACTTTTCCATCAGCTTCTCTTATTTCTTTTAGTCGGTCTTGACTGGTAACTTACATAAAAAACCAGCCTTTTCCTAGCCTAAAACTAAAGTTGGAGTAAATTATGACTAGCTGACTGGCACAAACTACATTCTATCAACTTACAATTTATATAATCCCAAGCAATCACTTAAATTGTAATTCTCCCTTCCCCCAAATATTTTTAAATGCAAGATTACTCCTTTTCAAATTTTACATTTTAAAAATTATTTTACAGATTTTTTTAATTTGGTTTGTAGACATCTTCAAAGAGAAAAATTACTGAGGAGAAAAATTGCTCACTGACACTCTCTATTAAGAGGCTCTTGACTTAAGATTTGAGCTCAGAGATCACCAGTGTGTTACAACTGAGCCATTAACATTTCTCAGACCATGTTTTTTTATAATTTCTATGTTCTCATTTAATGCCATTAAACTGTTAATTGGATCCTCACTTGCAGTTAATATTTTTTTCTTCTGCACAACTGAATTCAAAGGGGGATTATTTTCCTTTACCTTTAAAAAAATGTTTAAAACCATCTTACCTTTGTAAAAAAAAGGCTAAGAACCTATATTAAATAATAAATTTCAGTTTTTCAATGCCTTTAGTACAAATGTACTTTGTAAATAGTCAAGTGCTTAATTAAAACTCACCTTCTTCAGATTAGTCATCACTGGTTTTGCTTTGTTTTTAGCCTTAAAATTTTTCTGACTGGCTATGTGAAATACATTCCTAGACTTCGGTCCTCTTACTTTATTCTTGGCCATTGTCTAGGAAAGAATAAGAAGGACTTCAATTAAACTGTGCACAATTATAAACAGTAAGTCAAGTTTTTTAAGTAAAGGTACCAATAAAGTCTAAGAATTGCCCTCTTCCTGATTCTTTTTGCTGCATCACTAAACTATTTCCACATCTGTCCCTCCTAGATTTCCTGCTGTGTTAAGTATCTAAGTATCTGGCCCACAGGAAGTTCCACATAAATCCCCGCTTGTTGAATACACTATTGTCAACACAACTGTTTTCAGCTCTGACAGTATTAACCACTACTACCCATTCTGCTAGTTTACACACTGACACAAGCTATGCAACTTCTGTTATGTTACAGGACAGAGCGAGGGGCACCAATGAACCCCCTAACGTGCCTGCTCCAAATCGGTTCTGCCATCTGCTGCATCAAGACAAAACATATAAAACTTTTAATGAAAAGGGACTTTAATACAGTGAGTATACAATACGGAACACAAAGAATATAATGTCTAAAACACCTGAAGTTACCCATCCCCTCGTGGGCAAAAGTCCACCCAAAAGGGATTGGTCCAAAGCAAGGCCTTAAAACCCACCACAAGACTAAAGCACCTTCTGGCCAGGACTCATCGAAAAGGATCAGAAATGGCCAGGCAAGTCTGGGAGGAAAAGAGCAAAATCAAAATCAAGATAAACACTGCCATAGTCACCTCCCTACAGGTATCTCACCCACATCTGCCTTAACCAGTCCAGGGCCAGGAAGCAAGCATGGTTTCTTCATCACATGCTTGTTGTTCCATGTGGCTTCCTCAGGTCTCCTTCTGGCTCTCCATCCTGCTTCCTTCTTTTTTCTCTTAAGATACCTTCCCTTTTTTCCTCTGTGCAGCTCTACCCTCCTGGGTGAGGCAGGGAACCTGGAACTTACCCTGTTCCTGGGGACCACCCTGTTACAGTCAGATACGGTATATGGATGGAGGGGAAATGCTCTGAAAAATCAGAATTCCCACACTAGCTCATGTTATGACCTCCCTTTTTTGTATAATCATCAAAATACTCTAAGCAACCATCAGTTTTCTATTGGACTGGTGTAGTCTCCCCTGCCTGGCTCAGGGAAGCAAGCACTGCCCCAGGATGGGAAAGTCCTTTTGAAATAAAAAATACTACAACTGGCTGATTAATAAAAACAATTTTAACAAAATCAGTATTGTAAAACAAGGCAGTACTGGAACAAGTTAAAAGATAGTCAGAATTCTTTTACTGCCCGGATGAGAATACAAATCTCTACTAAGGACTTTATTTTAGCCAATCATTACTGTGATAACTACAATAATGTTAGCTTTAAATTTTATGAATTTATGTACCTACCTTAATTTTTTTTAAAAAAAGATTTATTTATTCATACAGAACCAGGGTACAGGCCAGAGATGGGGAGGGTGAGAGGATTCACCAGTGACAGAGTGGGGAGCAGAACAGGCAGATTGACAAAGTACACTGCTGAGGGGAGCAGTGGGCGGGTCAGGAGAGGTCTGCCTGCCATGTGGTCACCTCCGGGGCAGGCGGGAATCGAACTCATGCTGAAGTGGCTTAAGCTTCTTAGTGCAGTGCTTTAATCCGTTGCACCATCAGGGAGGGCCCCCTACCTTAATTTTAATAGATCAATTTTAAGAATAATGTTATAATAACGCTCTCAGAAAAAGATTGTGATCTCAGCCCAATTCATATGCTAACTGCTTATCTGAAATGTATAAAATAAACTGACAGCAGAACAGGAAGACCTGCACCCAACTCCGATTCCCATGTCTTCCCTGCGCCCGCTCCTCTTTTCCCCCTTTTAGGACTCTCCACTTGCCAACGCCGCTCCTACCTTAAGACCTCGCCTGTTCTGCCCCCTCCCAACAACACAGCATTCAGGATCCTATCACACTCTTTTCATTCCTTTCTACTTGTCCTACTCCTGTGTGTACCCCTTCAAAATAAAAATCCTACAACATTTTCCTGTACTTCCTACCTTCCTCACTTGCTTAAATTACTTTCTGAACTTAAACATGTTACCCCTATTGTGAATGACACTTGCTTTGAAGTTTTAAATATTTTCTTTGTAACTATTCACCAAACTTAGAAACATTTCTCAAAACTGTCTTTGAAATATTTTTAAAATACTAAGATTTGTTTAACTTTTATTATGTGTACAAGCACAGCTAACATTTTCCTCCTTTAACTTACTCCTAAGAACACTGGGAGATGTACTAGATGCCACTTTACAGACAGAATTTGCTACTATACTACTAATAGTCAAGGAAGGCCAGGATTCAAGACCAGGCAGAGTTCACATTATATAATGTGGCTTTCCTTCCATTAAAAGAAAGTACAAAAGAAGAAGGAAAACTGCCTAGTTCAGAACCTGGTCACAGATGCTCTGTCCATCAGTTGGAAAATTGTCCATGAATCTAATCTTTGCAGATAGTTTTCCTGGAACACAGCTGTGACCATGTGATTATGTATTCTCTATGGTAACGAGAACCTGCTATGACTATGGTTCCTAAACCTAAAATATTTACTATCTGGCCCTTTGTAGAAAACTGTCAACTAAATCATCAGCATTCTAATTTGTTTGGCATAGATTACACTATAATGTAACTTTCCAATGTTAAAAATTTTCAGTGACTCTTCCAATGCATAAGGGACAATGTTTTGTCCTGGCACATTACTGGAAACCTGAATCTAGCATAAATCTGTCAAATATATCTTATGGTTAAATATATCTTAAGCTACCTCTCCAGACAGGTAGCATAGTCTGCCAAATGTTTTCTGAGGACAACCTGCACATTCATTCTTTCTCCTCTTTGCTCACACTGGTATCTCTTCAACTGAAATTAAATACTCCTTTAATAGGGACAGGCACACTTTTGAAACTCAACAGCACTCCTACTTAAAAAAAGACACAGAAGACATTATTATAGAAGGAAATACAAACAACTGGTCCCCTCCACGCTAACTTAAAAGCCTTTTAATAGTAACCAGAATCCAATCCATCTAGTATTCAATAATCAATTACTACTGCCACATACATACAATGTGAAACTGCCACGAAAGGTGTTACAGGCGGCATGCAAGTGGGGACAAAAAGATCCATTAGAGAGGGGGGCTTGAAGGCTAGTGGAGAAGGTAATACTAGTTGGGGGAAACCTCTGGTAACCACGTGAAAACTGGTAAGACAGCAGACAAGCGAAAACTGCTACCATGTTGTGGGGGGTAAAGCCCAACTGAGTTTCCGGCCTGGGCCAGCAGACCTGCATCCTGGCTGAGCTGCCAGGGACCATGCTCCATTGAACCGAGGCTCCCAATCGCAGTGCCCACCCTTAGAAACCTCACTCTTGGCTGCCAGGAAATTTTATTAGCCACTCACCTGACCTCCGGTACCCTCGTGCACTCAAATTCTAGGCTACGCCATCTGACGCCCAGGATACAGGAAGTTCCGGTTGGGAGTGGTCCAGTTACGAGTCTTCTCAGATTATAGTCCCGCCCGCCAAGGTAAGCCCCGCCCCCAACAAAGCATCCTCGAGACCGATCTTAAGCCCCGCCCACGCATCATAACCCCACCCACCGAGGGGAGGCCTTTCCACCGAGCAAGGCCCGTCAGCGCTAAGCCCCGCCCATGCGTCGTAACCCCGCCCACCGAGGGGAGCACCACCCACCGAGTACTATCCTTAAGGATAGCGAATACACACCCAGTCGCTGAAAGTAGTTCCATTCAGATTATGTTCCCACTCACCAAACATTTCGTTGGCCTACAGATCCCACTGTCAGCCCCGAAAAGCAGGGTCTGTACCCAGCGAAGCCGAGGCCTCGGAGCAAAGTTCCACCCATTGTGAGAAGTCCCAACCTTGAGCATCTCTTGCTTTAGGAGAGACTTGGACGCGAGTCCACCTAACGAGAGGCGTTAAACACAAAGGCAAGTCTCGGCTTCCCGGGGTGGGTTATGTGTCTGGAAGCTACCGGAAATGTTTCTAAATCTTTTGGGCTGTGAACACCGTCGGCCAAGTAGTTGTCCCTCCGCCGCGGACTCCTGACTAGCTCTCCCCATGTCTCCAGGAGGTGGCGCTGCTCACCTTCGGGTAGTGTTAAGGCTTCTGCCGCCGCGGAACTGATCTGGACCTATCATCTCAGGAAAATCTGGAATGAAATATTTTTCTCACTGTAGTTTGCTTGCTTCAAAAAAGAGAATTTCTGACAGCATGGAAAAAGCACAAGAAAAAAACCAAAAATCCAACAATTAGCAGGGAACTCAGAAATATTGTTACCTTTTGGTTATGTAGCCTTGTGTGTATGTTTCTCAGGATCGTCTAGGTTCATTTTCTGGAAAACTGATTCAATTTTTTCAAGAAAACCACTCCATGAAAGTAAATACTCACATTTCTGTATTTTGTTAATTTCATAGGAAAAGTCAGATTTTAAACAAATGTAGAGGTACTGATATGTGTATGTGATTTGTTAACTTAAAAAATTTAACCCGCGTATCAACATAAGGTCATATATGATACTACTACCTCTTTTGCAAGTGCAACCTTAATACCACTAAGGTTCAGTGTTGTTTGCTCGAGGGACAAAACGAAGTCAAATTAGAATCTATGTAGATTGGGCCATCCTCCAGTTCTCTTTCTAATAAATCAGCTATCCGCTGTCTTGTAAAACAAACAAGCCACTTTAACAGTAAATCATTTTAGTATGCTTTTATTCATCACAAAAAAATAGGAGACATTTTATGAGAAACAATTACCTATCAATGAATATTCATTCAGACTTTGTATTCTTTTGAAAGAGTAACATTTTAAAAACACCTTACAACCCTAGTATAAAATACCCAAAATGTTGGGAGCAGAAAACCAAAACCAAAGTCATAGGAAATCATCATATTCTTTTGTCAGAATTATCCCTGAAAACTGAAGCAAATCAGATAGGTGCAATTAAGGCTCCTAGAATGTATGTATGTGACAAAGACAAAGAAGTAGAAGGAATGCTATTAGACTGTGGAAAAGGTCTGGGCCTACTTTTTTTTTCTTTTTTTTTTTTATGAAATGGTAAACATACACCAAAGAAATAGCATGTTTATAAAGGCATGAGCAAATATTGTTCATTATATGAGATATGAGAGAGGAGGAATTGAATTCTGTTTTACCTTTGCCATCAACAAAAAATGTGACCAAGGAAAAGTTCATTTCTTTAATCCTCTTCTCATTCAGGGCATATATACCTTCTTCTAGGGGCTCAGCATCCCATTATGGGGAACCCTCTGTGTGAGCTGTTAATAATGTGGTCCAAGTTGAGCTGACAACAGTTTTCCTATAAAGATTTTCCAGTTAGAGAATGCTGTCTCTTGCATTTTTGACTTTGTCCTGGGATATGAAGTTGAGGTTACTAGTAGCCATCTCCTCCAGGAATTTGCAGGAACCCTGGCTGCTGTGAAAATCACACACACACACACACACACACACACACACACGCACACACAATGAATAATGGAACACAGACAGCATATCATTGAGTCCTTTGATAGGTGGAAGAAAGATCCATCCTTGGAGTTCTTAGTTAGCTGCACTAAAATATTTGTGCTTTTTTCCCCCCACTTACTCTGTCTTGGGTTTCTTTATTTTATTTTTTTAAAATCACTTTTATCTGAATATATTTACATATCTTAATTCTACTCTTTTCTATGCAACCAATCTCTAAAGATTACTGTGCCTGCTAAGTCCTAGAATCAGTGATTTCTCTATGGAACTTTGGTTATTTTTAGTGGAAAATGATATTTAGATACCAAGATCTATGATATTGATGATTATAGGCTTTCTAAGTGGACAGAGCTAAGCCATAAACTCATGTCTGTACATGTATGTATACATTATCTACCTGTCAATACAGATTCATACATCTCACCAATTGAATTTATTTCTGTAGATACAGTGAATCCATGTCAATATTGCCCTCCCAACTAAGTACCATCGAGTTTATTTTCATTTTCTGTCTTTCTTTCCTGATTTATAATTTGCTCTCCATTAGTGACTAAACTGATTCCCATCATTTTAAATATATCTACTCATTTTGTTACAGAGCACCCCAGTGTGAACTGGGCTGCCTACATGTGGGTCCTCACCTGTGCACCTAAAATTTAGTTGTATTGCAGACACACACAAAAGGTCAATAATGGGTTTATTTACAAAAGAGGAAAGGAAAAGGAACGACACAACCCAGGGAAAGAAAGAGAGATACAAGTTAACTAGAATACCTTACTAGTGAGGCTGGCTGACTTGGAGCTCTAGTAACAAACTAACTGATAGCACCCAGTCATGCCGTCCTGAAAGCCATTGCCCAAGCGACAGAGTGCCATAGAAAATGGCTCCCTATTTATCCCCCAGACCCCCAGAAATGCCTTCTTAGCTCCGCCCTTGGGTCCTTGCAGTTCTCTCCCTGGTACTCCTGGGAGTTGTAGTTTCCAATCACTGGAGTAGGGGATAGAGTCCAGAAAGCAGGAATAGGGGGTGGAATCCACAAAACGCTACAGAGTTCCTTTCGAGCATCCTTCCCCTTAACAATTTGATTTACCTTCCTGTTTATAACCATTCTGCATTCAGAGTTTCTACCTCCCTTGCCACCCAACCCCATGCAGTTGCCTGCCTCGCCAGCACTGGGTAACATCTTCCACTCAAGCTGCAGCTCCCTGCGGAGATGTTTTCTTTAGACCATCCAGGCTCTGACCTTCCTCAAGTCGTGGTCATCTCCCCTTCCTCCACTAAGAATTAACATCTTACCTTAGAAAAAAGGAAGGAAAGGAGGGGACCTAGGGAAGATGGGGTGGGAGGGAAAGACTGCAGGAAAACAAGCATACAGCAGACTTTGGAAATTTATTCTCCAGGCAAAAATTATTCTCTCCTCCCCCCCCCCATGTCAGACAAATTAGAGCCAAATTGGATCATAAAAATGTTCACAATTAATTATGGAAATGGTGTCTTTCTTTTCCTTTAAACCCTCAGTGGCATAAGCATTTATTTTTTAGACTCAGAATAAATGCCTATAACATATTATCGGTACTAAAGTGGAACAAAACAGACAGGATCTTCCACCTTTCCATCTAAGTCAAATTCCTAAAAATACCTGGAGGGTAAAAACAAGTATATAAAAAGACATGATTAACCCTTTGTGATGAAGGAATATGACTTGCTTAGGAGGTAGGTTACAGGCTTTAGATTTTCATACTATATTTTCTACAGTACAAATACCATATTACTGTTTGTATGTTTGCTTCTCAATATAGTCCGTATATTCTTTTTTTTTTAAGATTTATTTATTTGTGCATACCAGAGACAGAGTGGGGAGCAGAACAGGCAGATCGAAGAAATACACTGCTGAGGGGAGCAGCGGGCAGTCAGGAGAGGTCTGCCGCGCCATGTGGTCACCTCTGGGGGTCGAACTCATGTGGAAGGGCTTAAGCTTCTCAGTGCTGTGCTTTAACCCGTTGCGCCACCAGGGAGGGCCTAGTCCATATATTCTTTAGGGGTGAGTACTGTTTCTCAATCACCTTTGTGTCCTCATCTAAAGATTCTGTATTTTCAATGCATGGAAATGTGACATAAACATTTACTAAATGAAATAAAATTTCCTGAATTTTCAAAAATAGCAACAGTATCCTGAAAATGATTATAAAGTTCTTGTCTTTAGCGTGACTTAAAGGTACTCTTACAGGGCAGTGAAAGATTGTAGGACCACACAATATGTAAAACACACCCAGGAGGTTCTGGCAGTAACCCACAACTTTGCAGTTTTGAGGAGCTCTATGTCTCCTGATCAACCATTATATCCCTTCAGACCTGGAGATCAGATCTTACTCAAAAGTTAGTAGAGCAGAGATGCCCAAAGCCAACTGTCAGAGAAATGGAATAGTCCGCATGAAGTTTTACTGAGCACACATACTACTTTGAAACATGTGGACATAAAACCCTGGGTACATCAATCCAGAGTTAAGCCGCAGATAGAACTGATCCAGAGACAAATCCCCATTGGTTTTGCAACCCCATTGAAGACCTGAGATACTTACTCAAGAAAAAGAGAAAAATTTAACTGGTAGTAACTTTTCTTCTTTCCTAGCTATGTAGTAAGATACTCCAAAAATTCACTTTCTGAAGAAACTCTGAAATGACAAACATGCTCTAACCAATCTTTTTCCTTTGAAAAATTTAGGTACATAACAATAACATCATGCAATTATGCTGACAATATTTTTTTTTATTTAAAGATTTATTTGTGCATACAGAACTGGGGTACAGGCCAAAGGCTCAGGGGCGGCGAGAGGCTTCATCAGAGACAGAGTGGGGAGCAGAACAGAAAGATTGAGGAAGTACACTGCTGAAGGGAGCAGCGGGCGGGTCAGGAGAGGTCTGCCACGCCATGTGGTCACCTCCGGGGCAGGGGGGAATCGAACTCATGCGGAAGTGGCTTTAGCTTCTCAGTGCAGTGCTTTAACCCGCTGTGCCACCAGGGAGGGCCCATGCTGAGGATTTTTAAAATTACTTTTGCTTTTTTAAAAAAATCATTTTGGTCTATATGAGTGAAACTGCAGTTACATAAGATATTACAAGTGGCATAACTAAGAAAACTGTCTGTGTCTATGTGTTGTATGCCTGTATTTCTTTTTCTTGTGCTTAATTGTCTTGGCCACCAGGTGTTATAAAATTGGTTTAAATGGTGCTATAGATACAGTAAAACAACAACAAAAAATATAATAAAAACTGTTACATGTTTTGAGAATATGAGGTTTTGGATAATTTTTTATTCATGCTAATTTGTAATCTAATGGGTTGTTTTGAAATGGGTACTTCTAAGGTTATATTGGGCATAATTTTTTCTCTGCTTGGGTTAATAATGTTGGATATATAATGTCTTTTAATGTCAGTAAAATAGAAGTTTGGAAAATTCAAGGTTTTTGAGAAAAAAGTAGTTATGAAGAGAAAAAAACTAGGAGGTTATGGTTTGACAGTCAACATTATACTACTGAACTGAGCTGGAGCTCTCATAAAGACTGAGATTGTCATTGCTATTGTTTTTTCATATTTATGGCAGAACCTCCCAGAGTTCTAAATTCAAGTAAAATTTGGTAGTCTTTCATTTGGTTGATGGAAGGAAAT